AATGATCTGAAAGACAAGCCAGGTAACATATTTTATTTTATCTTTGTAGAGTGATGGTTTTAATGTATTGTTTCGGAAATTACTGAATACACTACTTGCAAAACGAATTTAAAACTGTTTCGCAAGAAAACCAAGACGATTCACTACCGAAGAATACTCGCAATCTTCTCACTGATTTTGATTCGATCTGACATTAATATGTACAAAATATTCTACTTAACAAAATCAATTGGTAATTAACGAAGAATCAAAACGAGCGAAGCGGGAATAAGGGCCCATTTACATGGAAAGAGGATGATCCTGGTGTTAGGATCATCCTAGAAGGTTCATTTGGTTTACATACAAAAACGCGGCTCCTGGGACCAACTTTTCATTTGGTTTACATGCAGGATCGTCCTAGCACTTTTGTGTTCGGCGCGCTTGCAAAGCAAGATGGCGGGCGACAGTGACAAAAGCGTAGGTTTGGGAGTTCTTCTCTCTTTACTGGCGTTGATAACTGCCTTTCAGTATCAATTTGCCATTATATGCAACTTGATATTTCAAACACAGCAACAGCGAGCGATGATTCTCCGACTAAATCACACTGCCGCCATTCCTAGGTTTTTCTTAGCTTTTAGGCGATAAGTGCGAAGATCCTGTCATGTTGTTTCTCAGAACTCGTCCCCAGGGCCATCTCCGGTTTCAAGATGGTGGGTGGGCAAACTGGGCCTCCTGANTCTCACAACTCGTCCCCAGGGCCATCTCCGGTTTCAAGATGGTGGGTGGGCAAACTGGGCCTCCTGAGGCCGTTTACATGGAGGTAGGATCATCCTAGCGCCAGGATCATCCTTACTCTCAGACAGCATTATCCTAGGGGTAGGATGATCCTAGCACTGGGGCCAAATACAACCCTTCACATGTAAACTGAAAGCTGAAAGCATACCGCGCTCGGATGATCGTAGTCCTAGGATGATCCTGGCACTAGAATCATCCTCTTTCCACGTAAACGAGCCCTAACTGATATAAACATTTCAAAAATCATTATGCCACGCGGTCAATGGCCGTCAATACCGTACCATGCACGTAATATCCTAAAGCTCATAAAATCCGTATAAAACTATTACTGACAAACCTGAAATGATTGACTATTACAAACACTGATAATAAACGTACTTCTATGGCGAGTTTTCTTGACTTTCCTTGGTCGCGATAACCATAAAACTCGCAGTGTAGCAGGTAAGCAGTAAATCGCAAGGAACGTGTCCAAAGCAGATCTCGGGTAAACTAAGCTACTTATTTAAAGGCCAGCTGAGCATATTATTTTATGCTTTCTTTTGGGCGTGCATGAGGCGACCGCAAGTTTCTTAATTTTGAACTCTTTGCATAGTTCAATAGATCTTTTTCAACTGGTCGATTTGTTGCCCCATTTCAGACCATGTGATGATATTATTGAGAATTCTTCCTTTCAGATTTTCAAATAGTACTGTGCATAAGAATAAATAGTTTTTAGATGGATTAAAGAACATTTTCCTACAGAATATCACGTGCTCTGTAATGGGAAAACAAACCGCCCAAACGAAA